CGCCTGTTGCTTTTGGAGAGGAGCCTTGAAGAATCGAGGCCCGCCGTACCGCGGGAGCAGCGATCCTGTGGATCCCCTTGCTCGTGATCCCCGCCATCTTCTCCCTCGGGCCTTTGTAATCGGGGTCTGCTGCGATTAGGGCTGCGCCCAGGTTGGGGTAAGGCGGCGGCCTACCTGGCCGGGCGCTTTTGACTTAAATCACGCGCAGACCGCGCAGGGCGGTCGGCCTCCTGCCTCTGAAACCCGAGGGCGGCGTTCACACGACCCGTGGAGCTTAGCTGGGGAATGGCCTCCGCTTTTGGAGCTGGCACCCAACGTTGGGCAGGGCGGTGGGTGATGTGGGCCTCCCATTCCCTCGTTCTTGGTGTTTTCAAAATACTGGGGTTTTTTTTCTGTCCTTGATTCGTGTTTTCTGCTTGCCTTTATAGTTTTCAGACGTGGCTGGGTATTGCTGGGGTGAGCGAGGCAGCTTCAGTAGGCCCCGCACACGAAAAAACTCACCCGGGTTACATCTAGCCCTTTTTAAAATAAATTATAACTGGGATACATCGAAACACTTTTTAAAATAAATTATAGATCCCATGAGTTGCAATATACCTTGCAACGGTATATTGAGCATCTTCCATGCCAACAGTCAGGATGGCACCGATCCGTTTTTAAGCATTTTGGCCACAGATACCTCCCCGTTTGATTGGGAAGTGTGTGCTGGGCTTATTCTTGACCAAATGCGCTGAACGGTTTTCAGATTAGCCACCAAAAATGCAGAAAAGGCTGCATCGAAGAGAAAGTGTGTCCTGTAGAAGCGAGGGCTGAATTATAAATACAGCGAGCCGATTTTCTTGGGGGGAAAATAAAGGATCAGCCTGAAAAGAGGGGCAAATCTGAAAGAGATTCCTCAGGATTAAGTTTTGCACGTATAATTTTGGTTTACCAAGGAAAATCAAGAGCAAAACCAGAAAAGATATATTAATTAAATTGAATAAATCAGAAGGACAGCTTTCTGAAATAAAGGAGGTAGGGTGCCTAAGTATAAACCGTAAAAATCCATTGCGTGGAAGGGGGGATGAGGACTTAAGGAATTCGTGTGCAAAAGGGGAAGACATGGGATCATCGGGGAAGGGGGATTATGGGAACCCAGAAAAGTGGAAAAGATCTGGGCGAGACCTTTGGGGTGAGCGTGCTCTGCTGCCTTCCAGATGGGGAGTACAAATCCCATCATCCTCCCCTGCTAGCTGAGGAGGATGGGGAGCCAAGTGGCCAAGGTTGAGAAACACTGATATAAATGTTGTAAAGCAGCTTTATAAGACTTTATATGAATGTATCTCTCTGCTACAGGACATTCTGGGCTGTACAGAATGCGAATCTTGGTTATATCCGACTGTTTGATGCCCTTGATGGCTGGTGGCTACTAGCTACACCGTTCCCCTCTCCTCATTCCTGCGACTTATTTTTTCCCCCGCTTACAGGCTCCAAACACAGGGCCAGGATGCCTCCTGTGCCACAAGCCACAGATGCCCCCCAGCTCTTCGACGACACCAGCTCGGGCTACGGGCCACCCCAGGCGGGCTACGCCACTCCAGGGATCGACATGAGTTTCAACCAGATTTTTGCGGACCCGGTGGCTAACGTCGCCGTGGCTTACGGTACCACCATTGCCTCCCAGGGAAAAGACATCGTCCATAAAGAGGTAAAGGAAAAGAGTGGGAATCCTGTTTTTTAAATTTCGGAAGGAGAGGCGTGATGACAGGGACCGTCCGTCCTTTAGGACAGTCCTTGCTTTCCGAAAGCGGTCTTTAAAATTGATTTATTTTTCCAACATTCCCGTTTGTCCTTTATCTCCGTCGGGTCCCTTTGAGCGTGCAAAGGGTCTTTCGCGTTCCGGTGAAAAGTTGAATTGCCTTTTTCAAATCAATCAACCTCTGCGGTTTGATTTGAGGTCCATTTCTTTGAAGACATGTTTTTGTCAAGTTTTTTTCTCGGGTTTGCTCTGGAGTTTCCCTTTGGAAAGACATGTTAGACCCGTCCACAATGAAAGATTTCTGTCCTGGCGACCCACTTTCAGATTTGCCCCTTTTTCAGGTCGGTCCTTGATTTTTTCCCAAAAAAATGGGGTCCCCATGGGCAGGATTGAAAAAGTAAATCTGATCTCCAGCTCTGTAAAAATTTACCAAGGAGAGAGCAATGGCTAGTAGCCACCAGCCATCAAAGCCCATTCACCCATCTCCTTAAGAGGACGAAATGCCCCTTGACAAATAATCTGGAAGCTTCACGCTGACCGGACACTAGAAAAAACGAAATTCCAAACTATTTGTGGCTAAGGATAATGGGACTTGGGATCCATCACACCTCCGGGGCACCTGGTTGGGAGAGAAGCTTTCTTGCAAAATATAAACCTGGTCATTCTGCTCCTTCTAGCTTCTTGCGTGGTTAGATGTGACGGGCTTCAGCTCCTGGGATTCCTAACCAGCATTATCTCGGTTTCCTCCCAGATTCACAGATTTGTTTCTATCAACAAGCTGAAATACTTCTTCGCGGTGGACACCACCTATGTGATGAAGAAATTAGCTGTGCTACTGTTTCCCTACGTGCATCAGGTAAAGGAAAGGAGAATTTGGCCGCCGTGATCTTGGTTTGAATCGTGACGGTGGTCTCAGCGTGGTCTTCGGTTTGGGAGACGTTGCACACTGTTTTTGTAAAGTAGCTTGTCTGTAGGAGGCACGCCGGGAGTTAAAGCAACCTGTGCATTTATTTATTTAGCTCATTTAAAATGGATATTTATATTTTTACGGTTTTTAACGTTTGGGTTTTCGTTGTGAGCCACTCAGAATCACCCTCTGGGGGAGATGGGTGGTGTATAAATTTAATCAATAAATGAATGCATTGCAGAGCGTCAGCCAGCAAATATTTATTTATTCCCTTAGCTCGGTTCACCTGGGGAATTCACTGCCACTGGAAAAAAAAAATCAGGATAGCAAGCTCGTTGAGGAATCTGTTGAGAGCTAGTCGAAGGTCAGAAGAAAGTTTCCTTTTAGAGCAGACACGGAGGCTCTATCTGCCGCTGCAGAGTTAAACTAGAAACCCTTAAATTGGGTAAAATAAAGACGACAAGCTGGAGTTACAATTTGGGGAGCTGATGGGAGGTGCTTTAGAAAAGTATTTCCAATCAGGATTTGGGGGCAAGGTGATGGGTCAGTCTCCATAAATGATTATAATTCTATTACAGAATTGGGAAGTTCAATATCATCGTGATGTCCCTCTTACACCCCGCCAGGACGTCAACGCGCCCGATCTCTATATTCCCAGTGAGTCATCTTTGTTTTATTTTTTGGAAGAGTATTTTCAGGGCCAAGTTCCCAGCTCGGGAGCCCAAACTTAAACCCTGAATGATAGCTAGAATAGTTTCCCTCTCTGGCCTGCTCCCGGTCTATTCCATCGACTCAGATATTCTGCCAAACACTCAAGGGTTGCGTTCACACAACCCCAGCGCTCAGTCCGTGAACGATCTGGGAGCACATTCTGCAAAGCTTGTTGACATCTAATGTAGGCATGTTGTGTGAATCTAAGCCATTTAGGGTTAGGGTTCGGTGTATTCTTTGAAACCAGAATACCGTTGAGTGAGAATCACTTTTTGGTGGTTATGTTATGTTATTTCTTTGCCATTTTATATTTTATGATTATTATAAGTGTTATTATTTAGTAGATTTTTATTAGACTTCTGTATTATGTATTTTAAGGTATATGGTCTGTTGTTTTCTGACATGTTTGGATTCTCGTTTGGTTTTTTTTTATGTTGATCGCTGCGTTGTTTGAGTTGGGTGGCCTGAGCAATCTCAAAAATAAATACATAAAATGGATTAGGTTAGTCATCAGATTAAATCTGTGGGCACTCACCTGCCAAAAGATGGATTGCTAGTTCAGAGTTCCTGGGGGAAAAAAGGGTTTTTTTTGTTTTAAATCTCAACTCTTGTCATTTGATGGGACAAAAAGGGAGTTTGACCTGGATTTTTTTTTCATTACCCAAAGTTTTTGGGCACTCAGACTAATAGAGAGAACAAGCTTCTGTTGGATTAAAAAAAAATCACCATATTGTAGTTGTTCTGATTTTTTTAAAAAAAGCCTTTCCAACTCCAACATCTGGGGCTTTTTTTAAAAAGAAAATGATTTTCTCCTTCACAGGCATGGCCTTCATTACTTACATTTTGCTTGCTGGCATGGCGCTTGGGCTGCAGAAAAGGTGAGTAGGGGATCCCTCCTGCTCCCCAAATCTACTTCTTATGGAAAACAGTTGAAGTCATGCTTCGCCTTTTCTGGCGGTGCTCTTTGCCCCCTGCTCAGGTTTTCTCCTGAGGTCCTCGGGATGTGCGCCAGCACGGCCTTCGTGTGGATGGTGATCGAGGTGCTCGCCCTTCTGCTGGGTTTGTACCTTGCTACAGTCCAAAGCGATCTGGGCACGTTCGACCTTCTGGCATACTGTGGCTACAAATACGTTGGGTGAGTTGGCCAGGGCCTCTGCACTTACTGAATTAGACTACATTTCCCAGCAGCCCCAACCGATGACGAGGGAGGCTCGGAGAGAGGCAGCAAATCCTTGATTCAACAGACTGATTAAGAGAGAGGGTGTTCGGCTCCCCCAAAGTCCGTGAAATCCCAAAGTACATATTTGCAAAAGGGTGTTATGGTACAAAGAACTTAAATGGCGTTTCTTGCCTATTGATGTGGGAATGAGAGATGCGTGTAAATGTAAGCCCCTGGCCTGGACCGCTACTGATGCAATGGACTTGTCCGTTATTTCAGAGGGATCTCCAGATCCATTTTGTCCGTTGCATCAGAAGTCCGCTAAATGAAGGACTTCGTTTACTGTGATTCGGCAACATTGAGAGGGCTGCTCGTTCTTCACTTCTGGGTGTCAACACGAATCCCTGTCCAATTTGGAACGAGGCGCTTGGGCTGTTAGTGAAGAAAAACATCCCCGTTCTTTGTTTCTGTTCTCCAGGATGATCCTCACTGTGGTCGGTGGCTTGATTTTTGGGGTCAACGGCTACTACGTCACTCTGGCCTGGGCCTCCTGTTCTCTTATGTATTTCATGGTGAGTACTGCAGGGTTCAGGGAGGTGCAAATTGGCCAGCTGGGGCTCTTGAATTCCCAGGATTCCCTGGGGCAGAAAGGTCTGGAAAAACAGGCTAGATTTTCTAGGCTGGTGCTAGAGACCACAGATTCACCCACCATCCGTGTCCTGCCACCCTCCACCCATGCCAGCTGAGGTTTCCAGGACCTGAAATCCAGCCAGCGTAAAATACCTCAAGTTGCAGAACAGATTTTTTACTTTTCTTTTCCCCATTCCTTGGAGCATCCAGAACACCCATCATGGATGGAGAAGGCGCGTAGCTTCCTTTCCTCATTTCTTACTCTGGACCCAAAGGTCCGGCTTCATGCTGGCGAAGTCCCCAGCTGGGTCCTCTTTGACGTTTTCTAACCTCGTTCTCAAACCATCAGCATCTCGGGCTGAGAATCCCAGCGGCCAGTTACGGGCCGTTGGTCTGGTGGCCCCCACGGATCCCCTTCCTTGACTATTATATCGTTTTTTGTTCTAATTTGCAAATATCGGAGAGAGACCTCAGCTCTTCCAGTGGTGACCGTGCCAGCTGGGCATGATGGAAATGAGAATTCAAGATTCAGGCCGGCTAGGGAGGGTGGTCGTGGGGGGGAGATTGAGACAAGAAACGAGGGACCCATCTGAACGTGCTTCTGACGTGCCCTTCTCTTTCCTGCCCGTGCAGGTTCGCTCCTTACGGATGAAGATCCTCACTTCGGTGGTCCAAGAGGGACTGAACCGGACAAGCGGACGGGCCCAGATGTACGTCACCCTGGGCGCGGCTGCCTTCCAGCCCTTAATTTTATACTGGTTGACAGCCCAGTTGGTACATTAAACGGAGCAGGAGGAGACAAGACCAAGCTGGGACGTTGGGGCCCTCTCTCCTTTTTTGGTTCCCCCCCTTCACCAACCCCAGCTCTGTCTCTTCCTCCCCCCTCCCCAAAATAAGGCTTTGGGCTCCGCAAAGGAGGACAAGCAGGGTTCGATCCCCTTGAAGAATGAAGCGAAAGGCCGCGGGCCATTCACCCATGCAGCTTAATCCAGGAGCAGAGGAGAGAGGCCAAGGGTCCGAGCTCATTCAGACTCTTTAAGTTGTAGAGACAGTTCTGTGCAGAGTTTAACCGGTCCTCTGGGTGGGGTGGGGTGGGGTTTGGTCCTTTCTCAAGGAAAAATGGCTTTTCTGTTCCTGCTTCCTCCATTGGCAGTCTTCGTCCCCCGGGTCGGCAAGACCTTGCCCCTGGAACAAACTCCGTTTTGCCCTACATTGGTGGGAGTAGTGATTCTTCACAGTCCATGACCCTTCCTTGCCAAGGTCCAAGGATGGCTAGATGGGGAGGGGAAAAAAGATCTTTTAACATCTGAACTGTTAAGAGTTTGGCTCTGCCCTCCTGGGGGGGGGGGGGGGGGGAGGAACAGAACCTGTTTTCGATTTTGTACTGTTGCTTCCTTGGCGGATTTTTTTTCCTTGCACGCATGGTGAAACTTTATAAAACTCTGTGGTGGCCAGAACCAAGTTCTTGAATGTGTGTTTCTGGGTGTTTTGTTTTTAAGAAGTCTCCTGGGCATCTGCTGAATTTTCCCCACCGTAAGTAGGATTCCTGTTTTCCCAAAGTTGATAGCCAAGAGGGGTGTTTTGTCTGAGATGCAAATCTCAGGAGCAACTGGAGACCAACATCTTCCAGGCCAACATCTGCCTGTTTCAGAAGGAAAGTTAAATAGTCCTTCAGATGTTTGAGGACCACAGCTCTCATCAACCCCTCCCATGGAGCTGATGGGAACTGGAGTCCAAAAGAGGTAGGAAGACGAGACGGTTGGTCTCTGAATCCCTTGCTCGTTGGCAGCAGAGGGCAGTAGCTGTTACCGAGGAAAACCCTGGTTGAATTTGGAGGTCAAGACTTTGCTGTGTCTTTCTGATTTTCCTAAAGGGAAAAAAAGCCTTTTCTTCGCTGTTCTTAATTGCAAAAGAACCCCACCAACCCACAGGGTTACCTCCTGTTTTCAGGGAAAATGGTGCTGCCTGATCACCCCAGGGGGAGGAAAAAAAAGGTTGAAAAATCAGATTTCTTGTTTCTCGAGCTAGGTGAAACAGCAAAAACAGAGGGGATGTATGCTGGTGTCAGGTAACACAAAGAAAAACCTTACGTCTCTTGGAACTGGATTTGGGAAACGGCGTGTCTCAGCAGGTGCCCCCCCCATAATTTTCAATAGCCCTCCTTTTTTTTCCCTCCCAGTTCCAGATATAATCTTAACATCTGGTTCTTTGGAGCCAAGTCAGCGTTCCCAGCCTCGCGTCCTCCAAAGGAGCTGGAGATCGCAAATTGAGAGAAGGCTCCTTCAAGGAATGATTTTATTATTATTTTTTTCTTCCAGTGGGTTCCTCCCAGCGCCTCTTGGCTGGCACATCCGTGGCATAAGGGTGCTTTGTGTCTTTTCAAGGCCTCGATCCCATTCTTTGTGCCCGCGGATCTGGCTTAAAATATCCTTTGCTCAAAGAATAACCCGCTTACGGTCACGTTTGCAGCTCGATTGCTGGAAGAGACAAACGATCCGCCTTTTTTTGCAAAGAGGGTGCGCGTACCCCACGAATGCTGATTTGGGGGTATACACAACACACTTGCAATCGATTACTGTGGTTAGCGGACCTTGTTTTCTCAACTTGCGACCCGTGCCAAGTCTAAACTGACCGTGCCGTTGTTTAAAATGCGGCGCTGCGGCCGGATTCACACAGCGCACTTCACACAGTTGAAACTATGCAGGTTTCACCCAAGATGGAGCTAGGGAAGGGTCAGCCCCCTCCACTGCTCCCCCCAAAATAAAACGACCGAGGTGAAGTGCAAAGCCAAAATGTGTAGTTTAACCCAGAAAAATGGCTTAGTTCAGCAAACAGGTTCTGTGAACCCAGTTTGCAAGTTAAGCCTTGCCAGCCTTCATCTTTTCAACCGGGCTCATTTCAAGGGTTAAGCGTGTCCCGTTGCATCTGGAATTAGATGTTGCACAAAATTATTATTTTCGATGCATCCGTCACCCAGAGCATCACCCGCCCAGAGTCCCTTGGTTGAGATAAATTGAAATAACTAACTAAATAAGGATTCCCTTGATTTTTTTCCCCTGCATGCTGGAAAACACAGGTATTACCACCCGATTTGAACTGGGGCTCCCAGCCCTGCAACTCCCTTTCCAGAGATTGGAATGTGTGAAAGAGGCTGTCGATGGAAATTATTTCTACCTACCCGCTTTTCAGCTCAAGCCTTTTTCACCTGGCAGAGTTTTGAGCGTGGCAGCCTCGTTTTTCACTCCGGGAAGGTATATTTAAATATTTGCAAGCCTGCATCTTTTGCCTCTCTCTTTTTCAAACGGGAGCAGTTTCAAAGGGCCAGGGTGAGGATTTATACCTGATCCGCCACGCTGGGGAGGGCTAGCCGCGTTTCAGGTCTTTCTGCAAGAGCGAGGCTTTAGCCTCTGAAATGAGCGCCCGGCTTTGCGGAAGGGGACGATGGGAAAGGGTGTACAGAAATGCCTGTTTCTCCCTGGCCGTGCTTTGCCTCCAGATGACGCCTTGCAAATGCAAGATGGTTGGAAAAAGGGGCCCATTTTTGCCTTAGATGCCCCTAACAAGCCACCTTCCCGTTACCCACTTCCAACTCCCTTGTATCTTTCGCGTCGGAAGCATCAGCTGCCCGAGGCGGAAATCCAGGTGCATTCAAATAATTTTAATTGTTCCAGTGGTGGATCTTCAGGGCCCGGGCACAGTGCAGGGCCCCGATTCCCCCAGCGGCCCCGGTGTGTTTGGGGTGTCCCTAATGCAGGCAGGGGGGCGCATGAGAGGAGGAAATGACTTGGGGCAAGGCTGAAAAAACGACACAAGACAAAAAACCCGAAGGCAACGAAAACTAGCCAAGAACTAGCTATGTTTAGGCTTGGGAACAGAAGGAGGGGTATGTGCGCGCATGAGGAGGGTTGCACGGCATCGCTGACAGCTTTTCAAAGCACATCAAGGCAGGGTGAGACAGCTCAGCGCTGCGGGGGCGGCCGATTGCCGGCAAGCCGTCTGTGTTCCTTCCGTCTCTGATGCAGACGCCGCTCTTCCTGCACTCTTCCTGCGTGTGCACACGCAACACTTTCGCCCACACGCACCTTCCTCCCCGTCTGCAGCGGCTGAGCCCCACGGCTCTGATTTGCGGGGGGGGAGGAAGAAAAAGCCGAGCCATCAGGTTCGGGGAAGGGCCCACCTTGCACGCCCCTCTTCTCCCCAAGGTGTGTTTCTGCCACCCTCTCTGGCTTGGAAGCGCAATGATGCTTCCTGGAGGCGCCTGGCAACTGCCTTTGCGCCTTTGTTCCTCCGGAAAAATGTTCTCCTGGCGGGATGAGGGCGGTTGGAAAGGCGTTTCTCTGCCGTGTTAACACGGGGAGGAAAGAAGGGAAGGGAGCGTGAAGGGGACGGTGCGCGATGCACCCGTCCCACCGATTGGGTTGCGGGGCTTGGAAAGATGGGGGGATTGCGCTGGCAATGGCAAAGCGCCGGTTCCTGGCGAGTTGTGAGCAGAGCCACGGGGGTGCCCCATCACTGCCGCCTTTTGGGGGGGTGGTTAGAGGCGTAGGAGACCTGGGGGGGAAAAAACCCCCATCAATTGTGCCAAGATTGCCCAGTGTGGCAGAAGGCGTCAAGAACCCCTCCATCCCAAGCTGGCATCCCCGGAGGAAAAACTCGGCCGCCTTCTCTTCGCTCACACAAGACAGCGGAACTCACGGTCACAGTCAAATCATAG